CCCCTAAAAGTATGGCGTGGCCCCCTAAAAGTATGGCGTGGCCCCCTAAAAGTATGGCGTGGCCTCCTAGGGGAACATATGGCCCACGTTGAGAACCACTGTACTAAGGGACACATTTACCTGCAGCATATACTTAGGGACACACTTATTTGCTGCCATACACCTAGGAACTCACTTACCCACTGCCATATACTTATGCACAGACTTTCCTGCTGCCATACAATTAGGTACACACTTACCTGCTGTTATACACTTAGGAACACACTTACCTGCTGCCATACACTTAGGGACACACGTACACTCGCAACAAAAAGTATCCGTGCATACTGTAGTGTGAACAATTTGAGACCAGTGACGATAGGTAGTGGGAAAGGTGAGTTGTTCCAGCCGTATGTTGGCAGCCCTGATTGTCAGCCAAATGGCAACACCTAGTGGAGGGAGGGGGGGCTTATGAGGATACACTTACCAACCTTCCCGACATATCACAGTGTATACTTATCGTTTCGGAACTCGTCGATCTCACACTGCACCGATACTTTTTGGTGCGAGTGTACCTGCTGCTAAACACTCAGTGATACACTCAACCGTAATTCCAGTGCTATATAATGCACCAGAAACTATAGCACAATATAATGCACCAGGAATCATAGTGTTATATAATGCACCAGTAACTGTATTGTTATATAATGCTCCAGTAACTGTATTGTTATAAAATGTACCAGTAACTATATCTATCTATTATATATATAAAACAAAGAAGTATGTCTGTGTGTTTGTTTGTGTGTCTGCACGAGAATCTCGGAAACTACTTTACCGATCTGTAGTGATGATGGATGGTGTTATATGTAGTGATGATGGATGGTGTTATATGTAGTGATGATGGATGATGTTATATGTATTGATGATGGATGTTGTTATATGTAGTGATGATGGGTGGTGATATATGTAGTGATGATGGATGGTGTTATATGTAATGATGATGGATGATGTTATATGTAGTGATGATGGATATTGTTATATGAGGTGATGATGGATGGTGTTATATGTAGTGATGATGGGTGGTGTTATATGTAGTGATGATTAGACAATAAAATAAAAACAGTTTAATGCTAAAAAAATATACTTTGCTGTACCGTTGCAGTGGAACTTACATACACCGTTAATGAACTATTGTTGGAAAAAGTTTTGGGGACTGAACAATAGTTGCAAACAGGGAGTTGCTCAGAGAGACAGACTACTCAGTTGAAGTTCTGGTGAATTTTCTTGAAGAAAATGAGCCTCACCTGGGGCCTGATCAAGCAAATGCTTATGAACAGATCTTGCAAGCGATACAAGCGGAGCAGGGAGGTATGATCTTTCTCGGTGCACCTGGCGGGACGGGAGAAACATTCCTGATCAACCTTCTGTTGGCCAAGGTACGTCATCAGGGGAAAATTGCTCTTGCTGTGGCATCCTCAGGCATTGCTGCAACCCTACTAGAAGGAGGACGTACTGCACACTCAACTTATAAACTGCCTCTCAACCTCGCTCACAATGACAATCCAGTGTGCAACATCAAAAAAGGATCGGCAAAGGCAAGACTCTTAGAAAAATGCATCCTCATAATCTGGGATGAATACACTATGTCTCACAAGTTAGCGTTTGAAGCATTGGACACGACCTTGCAAGACATACGAGAAAATGACCAGCTCATGGGTGGCATTACAATGGTCATTGCTGGAGACTTTCGCCAGACCCTACCTGTCATTCCTCGAAGCACTCCAGCTGATGAACTGAATGCGTGCCTCAAGGCATCATACCTTTGGAGAAGTGTTCAGACACTCACCCTATCCACAAACATGAGAGTACATCTACAAGGAGATCAGGATGCTGGACGGTTTGCAAACCTTCTACTACAGATTGGGAATGGAACTTTCCCTGTTGATTCAGAAGGACAAATAATCATTCCTCAAGGATGTGGAAATGTTGTAAAGTCCTCAACTGAGCTCACTAACATGGTCTACCCAAACATTATCCACCACTACAAGGGTCACAAGTAGCTGCGTGGACGTGCAATTCTGGCACCAAAGAATGAAACAGAGGCTGAAATCAACATGACTCTACTCAGACAGCTGCCAGGCAGTGAGACCTCATTCAAACCTGTTGATACAGTAATCGACCAGGACCAAGCAGTCCAGTACCCCGCAGAGTTCCTTAATTCTTTGGTGCCCGCTGGAATGCCTCCTCACCACCTCACTCTCAAGATTGGAACTCCTATAATGCTCTTAAGAAATCTTGAACCACCATTCCTCTGCAATGGCACAAGACTGGTAGTGAAGAACATGGTGCCACGTGTACTGGAAGCTACAATAGTGACAGGAAAAGCTAAAGGAGAGGACGTTTTTATACCAAGGATACCTCTCATCACCACTGACCTGCCATTTGAGTTCAAGTGACTTCAGTTCCCGGTTAAAGTGAGCTTTGCCATGACCATCTACAAAAGCCAAGGACAGTCCCTAAAGATGGTTGGCCTAAACCTGGTGTTTCCTTGCTTCTCTCATGGACAGTTCTATGTTGGATGCTCCAGAGTGGGAACTGGCAAAAATCTGTACATACTAGCTGCTAATGGCAAAACAAAAAATGTGGTCTACCTTAATGCACTGCAGTGAGACAATGTGGAGCCTCCCGGAAGGTTGCGTCCTACCGTGGCCTAGCGAAAGAGCGATTCCTCTAGTTGTTATATAATGCTCCAGTAACTGTAGTATTATATAATGAACCAGTAACTGTAGTGTTATATAATGCACCGGTAACTGCAGTATTATATAATGCACCAGGATTTGTAGTGTTATATAATGCATCAGTACCTATAGTGTTATATAATGTACCAGTAACTCTAGTGTTATATAATGCACCAGTAATTGTAGTGTTATACTGTATAGTGTACCCCGTAACTGTAGTGTTATATAATGCATCAGTAACTGTAGTGTTATATAATGCATCAGTACCTATAGTGTTATATAATGTACCAGTATCTGTAGTGTTATATAATACACCAGTAATTGTAGTGTTATAGTGTATAGTGTACCCCGTAACTGTAGTGCTATATAATGCACCAGTAACTGTAGTGTTATATAATGCACCAGTAACTGTAGTGTTATATAATGCATCAGTACCTATAGTGTTATATAATGTACCAGTAACTGTAGTGTTATATAATGCACCAGTAATTGTAGTGCTATACAGTATAATGTACTCGTAACTGTAGTGTTATATAATGCACCAGTAACTGTAGGGTTATATAATGCACCAGTAATTGTAGTGTTATACTGTATAATGTACTCGTAACTGTAGTGTTATATAATGCACCAGTAACTGTAGGGTTATATAATGCACCAGTAACTGTAGGGTTATATAATGCACCAGTAACCGTAGTATTTTATAATGCACCAGTAACTGTAGTGTGATATAACGTACCAATAATGTAGTGTTATATAATACACTAGTAACAGCAGTGTTATATAATGTACCCGTAACTGTAATGTTATATAATGCTCCAATAACTGTAGTGTTATATAATGTACCGGTAACTGTATTGTTATATAATGCTCCAGTAACTGTAGTATTATATAATGCACCAGTAACTGTATTGTTATATAATGCTCCAGTAACTGTATTGTTATATAATGCACCAGTAACTGTAGTATTATATAGTGCACCAGTAACTGTAGTATTATATAATGCACCAGCAACTGTAATGTTATCTAATTCACCAGTAACTGTATTGTTATATAATGCTCCAGTAACTGTATTGTTATATAATGCACCAGTAACTGTAGTATTATATAATGCACCAGTAACTGTAGTATTATATAATTCACCAGCAACTGTATTGTTATATAATTCACCAGTAACTGTATTGTTATATAATGCACCAGTACCTATAGTGTTATATAATGCACCAGTAACTGTAGTATTATATAATGCACCAGTAACTGTATTGTTATATAATGCACCAGTAACTGCAGTGTTATATAATGCACCAGTATCTATAGTGCTATATAATACACCGGTAATTGTAGTGGTATATAATGCACCAGTAATTGTAGTGTTATATAATGCACCAGTAACTGTAGTGCTATATAATGCACCAGTAACTGTAGTGTTATATAATGCACCAGTCAATGTTGTGTTATGCAAGGAGTTATATAGGTGAATGTAATGTTACTTATTTTATATTATTGGTCATAACTTTCTTTGAGTATGTATGTATGTATGTTGTAATAATCAGGATGCCTGATTCGCTATTATGTTCGATCACTGTGCAGGGTGAAATTATGAGCAAGTTTCTTTACGCCATTTGCCTCTGTCTCCCCACCAGTATGACGGGGCTCTCCACTGGGCAAAAGTTTCGTCATTAGCCTTAATTTTCAGACCTACGTCAAAATAAACCGCACTCCTAATCATACCGTCTTCGCTCAAATGAAAACGACAACAAAGATAGCCGCACGTCAAGATTGTGTCGACTGTATTTCAAGAAAAAATGGGTTATTTAGACTTTAATTGCAGTACGCGTAGATGAAGAAGAATGAGGATTGACAAATCAGTTGTGGTTCAGCATCACTTGTCCACAAAATTCTGGTTATTTTACAGCCCTTCGTGTTAGCACGTATCGTTGTGTACCACTTAGCTGGTACCAATAATTATTTTTAATTTTATACAAATAAGATTGTTTTAAGTAGAGATTCATAATTATATCGTTGCAATTCAACATTAGATATTATAATAGCCGAAATGAATTAGAAATCCTGTCGATATCCACCTGGAGACTCCGTTTGCTTTGAAGTCCTCAGATTACAGTTTTCCGCCGTCTTCTCCTGAGAAATGAGGAATTTGCCCAGTGTGATAGTCCTTTAATTAGGATGCTGCATGCTAATCGATTTGCAAATTATGTTCCAGAGTAATGGCTAGTAGTCAAGTTGTCCGGTCTTCTCGGCCATCCTCGAACACGACGGGTTGCCATTATGTATGTATGTTTTATACAACAGGTGTCGAAACTAGGTCGCCTTGGCCTGGACGCTGCCAAGTTGGGGTGTTGCAGTCGAGCGCTGTCTGCCGAGTGTCGCGGCCTGTGTGTCCGAGCCTTCTCCAAGGAGTGGGGCCGAGCCTGGGACGCCCTCCATACCTCTTGCCTTTCTCGGCCTCAGGAGGTCACACTCATCGCTTGCCTGGCTGAGGCGGATGCACCATGCCAGCAGGGATGCTCAGGACTCTCTTATTGTAGCAACTTTAACCACAGACCCAACCATCTCTTTCGTTCCTGTAACATACGTGCAGACTCAGCCGCCCAAGAGGACCTCCAACTGTGGCAGGAGAGTTTGACACTAAGTCTGCCGGGCCTTGCCGCTACAGTGCCCTTGCGGAGTGTCAGCGAATGTCAGGGTGACCTTTGGAGGGCTGTAGCGTGCTCCCTACACCTTAAGCCCTGCCATCCCACATCCCTCACCAATACCATCTGCTGGCACGACTGCGTCAAGTTACTCTCCAGGTAGGATTTAACGTTGTTGGGGTGAAGTTTTTCCTTCGTTTGGCCATGTATCAATCACATTCTGTTTCTCTGTTCACTGAGTGTAACACGGGCATTAAGATTAGTACTATTTAGTTTTTCTCTTCCTCCCCCTCCTCCTCCTACTACTACTATTACTACTACTACTATTACTACTACTGTCTCTTTCAGGTGTATACGAGAGCCGGTGAATGATGAGGGGGGAAAGACGGCCGGGGCAGTGTGCGGGGCCCTCAGTCCCCCACCGGGCAGTCCTTGTGTCTCCCTTTCCACCTTCCTCATTCCATCCATAGTGCCCAACGAGCCCCCCTGGCGGGTGCCCACTTCGCCCTGTCACCCCTTCCCCTGCCCCACCCGCCACGTGTGCACGGTAAACAGTGAGTGTCGGTCCGGGGAGCCCTGCCGCCCCTACGTGTGCACCCCTGCCTGCACCCTGGGCGAGGTGTCAAGTGTTGCTGTTCCCGTCGGTGCCTTCGTCAGTGTTCCCTTCAGGTAGATTCTATATTATTACCATTTTGTGATGAATAAATATATTCATTACCTTAACAAGTTCAATACATGACACGTTGTGTCAGTGGCGATTTTCGATTTTTGTAAAGGGTCAAACAGGCACATTCCTCTGCACGCCATCCCCCTCAGGTTTTATTTGATTTTAAATAGTGTTCTAACCACTGTATAATATTATATATGTTTGACATGCGCTTTCTGTAGATGATCTGCAATAGAGTTGATATGTATAGTATAATACTAAAAATTTTCATAAGAATGTTTGTTAGGAAACAAGGGAAGACTTTTCAGCTGTCGTGGTGCTGCCGCCAGTGTGTTCACCTCTCTTGTCCCCGAGTTGGCGCCATCACCTCCATCTTTATCTAAGATTGGAATACAACCTCTGCCATATTATATTCCACATCAGTGTATTTAAAGATAGATATGGGACACTTGAGTTTGCCGCAAGAAATTAACGTATTAGTTTTATCCCACTTCATAGCCACTTTGATTCTGCCGTTAGTATCCTGCAGCTTCTGCCGTTAGTGTCCTGCAACTTCTGCCGTTAATGTCTTGCAGCTTGCACCAGCTGACTCATGTATTTATTAATAATTATGCATGTATATTGCTGAAGGTTTAGTGGAAAGTTAACAACCCTGATTAACGTATAATGAACTATATATATATATATATATATATATATATATATATATATATATATATATATATATATATATATATATATATATATATATATATATATATATATATATATATATATATTACTTACCTTGGACTTGGTTCCTTCATCGGGAACTTGTAGAGTTTGTAAAACAAACTATAAATTGATCTCTTGAAGTCAGTAAGTCCAGTTACCTATTCATTTATTTTTTGAGTGTGGCCATAATTGCCGTGTTGTTAAACACAACTGATTTAGATTATAATGTTTGTGTTGATCAAAATAGCTTCTCATTCATCTGGTCACCAGCTCTGGGGCGTCTGGTTGCGGGCGTGTGTGTGAATGTGGGCGTGCAGGCGGGCTGGAGAGGTGCCGCTACTTACCCTGCGTCGACCCCGCCCCCTGTTGGCTCGGCACCTCCAAGTTTGGTACGTTTCCACACCTCTCCTGTTGTTACCCCACCCCCTCACCCCAAGTTTCCTTACCCCATCAATAAGTTATCTTGTCCACCTCCCAGTTATTTTAACCCCATATGCAAATTATATTTCTGTACCTCTAGATTCTTGCCCTCTTCAAGTTGTCTTGCTCTACCCCCAGGATATCGTAGCCGCACCTCGAAATTATCTTATTTTCAATTTCAAATTACTTCACACCACATTCAAGTTATCTTACCCCTCTTCAAGTTACATTTTCTCAATTCCAAGTTATCTTATTCACCACCAAGTTACCCAATTCCACCTCCAACCACCCTAGTTGGCTTACCCATCTCTAAGTTATCTTGTGAGTTAATTTACCACAACTCCAAGTTTCCTTATCCCCGCCTCTGAGTTATCTTGCCTCACTTCTAAGTTTATATTTCCCCACCTCTAGGTTATTTTACCTCGTCATTTCACACTTTAGCTATATTGCGTTTTATCTCACTTGAGAAAAGATGTCCCGCCCCCTCCCCAAGAGATACAGCTGATTGGCTGTTGCAAACCTGTCCGATTTTTTCCTGAAGTAATGATGTATTTCTAAATGAGTTTATTCATAATCGTTGGGATGACCGTTCCTGACTAGAAAAATATTTAGCTAAATTATATAAAGATACATACATTCATCATTTCAAACATAAGCACGTAGGAAGTTTATCAGAAGTATTATACATGAATTAACTGTTCAACTCTGGTAACAAATTCACGCTTTCGGAACATGCACTTAATATATACTTATTTTTCCCCTCAATAAGGCATACTAAGACAAATTACGTATCAGCAGAGGCGGGGAAAAAAAGTTGCTCGCAGTCATATTTCCCGCCTCTGCTGACGGTCGTGTAATATTTCAATGTGATTCTGATCTTTATTTTCTTTTTTTTTTGCATAATGTAGTGTTACTGATACATAAATTGTCTTAGTATGCCTTATTGAGGGCAAAAATAAGTATATATTAAATGCATCTTCCGAAAGCGTGAATTTTCTACCAGAGTTTAACAGTTAACTCATAAATAATACTTCTCATAAACTTCCTACGTGCTTGTGTTTGAAATAACGAATGTATGTATCTTTATATAATTTAGCTAAATATCTTTCTCTTCAGTAACCGTCATCCCAAAGATTATGAATAAACTCATTTAGAAATATATCATTACTTCAGGACAAAATCGGACAGGTTTGCAACAGCCAATCAGTGGTAAATTTTGAGGAGGGGGCGGGACATCTTTTCTCAGCTGGGAAAAAACGCGCTTTAGTGTACAGGTCACAGTCACCCCACACGGTGTTTTTCACACTGTAGTCAGTGTACAGGTCACAGTCACCCCACACGGTGTACTTCACACTGTAGTCAATGTACAAGTCACAGTCATCACACACGGTGTTTTTCACACTGTAGTCAGTGTACAGGTCACAATCACCCCACACGGTGTACTTTACACTGTAGTCAATGTACAGGTCACAGTTATCCCACACGGTGTACCTCACACTGTTGTCAGTGTACAGGTCACAATCATCACACACGATGTACCTCACACTGTAGTCAGTGTACAGGTCACAATAATCACACACAGTGTACCTCACACTGTAGTCAGTGTACAGATCACAGTCACCCCACATGGTGTACTTCACACTGTAGTCAGTGTACAGGTCACAGTCACCCCACACGGTGTTTTTCACACTGTAGTCAGTGTACAGGTCACAGTCACCCCACACGGTGTACTTCACACTGTAGTCAATGTACAAGTCACAGTCATCACACACGGTGTTTTTCACACTGTAGTCAGTATACAGGTCACAATCATCACACACGGTGTACGTCACACTGTAGTCAGTCTACAGGTCACAATCACCCCACACGGTGTACTTCACACTGTAGTCAATGTACAGGTCACAGTCATCCCACACGGTGTACCTCACACTGTTGTCAGTGTACAGGTCACAATCATCACACACGATGTACCTCACACTGTAGTCAGTGTACAGGTCACAATCATCACACACGGTGTACCTCACACTGTAGTCAGTGTACAGGTCACAATCATCACACACGGTGTACCTCACACTGTACTCAGTGTACAGGTCACAATCATCACACACGGTGTACCTCACACTGTCCTCAGTGTACAGGTCACAATCATCACACACGGTGTACCTCACACTGTACTCAGTGTACAGGTCACAATCATCACACACGGTGTACCTCACACTGTAGTCAGTGTACAGGTCACAATCATCACACACGGTGTACCTCACACTGTAGTCAGTTTACAGGTCACAATCATCACACACGGTGTACTTCACACTGTAGACAGTGTACAGGTCACACTCATCACACACGGTGTACCTCACACTGTAGTCAGTGTACAGGTCACAGTCATCACACACGGTGTTTTTCACACTGTAGTCAGTGTACAGGTCACAATCACCCCACACGGTGTACTTTACACTGTAGTCAATGTACAGGTCACAGTTATCCCACACGGTGTACCTCACACTGTTGTCAGTGTACAGGTCACAATCATCACACACGATGTACCTCACACTGTAGTCAGTGTACAGGTCACAATAATCACACACAGTGTACCTCACACTGTAGTCAGTGTACAGATCACAGTCACCCCACATGGTGTACTTCACACTGTAGTCAGTGTACAGGTCACAGTCACCCCACACGGTGTACTTCACACTGTAGTCAATGTACAAGTCACAGTCATCACACACGGTGTTTTTCACACTGTAGTCAGTATACAGGTCACAATCATCACACACGGTGTACGTCACACTGTAGTCAGTCTACAGGTCACAATCACCCCACACGGTGTACTTCACACTGTAGTCAATGTACAGGTCACAGTCATCCCACACGGTGTACCTCACACTGTTGTCAGTGTACAGGTCACAATCATCACACACGATGTACCTCACACTGTAGTCAGTGTACAGGTCACAATCATCACACACGGTGTACCTCACACTGTAGTCAGTGTACAGGTCACAATCATCACACACGGTGTACCTCACACTGTACTCAGTGTACAGGTCACAATCATCACACACGGTGTACCTCACACTGTCCTCAGTGTACATGTCACAATCATCACACACGGTGTACCTCACACTGTACTCAGTGTACAGGTCACAATCATCACACACGGTGTACCTCACACTGTAGTCAGTGTACAGGTCACAATCATCACACACGGTGTACCTCACACTGTAGTCAGTTTACAGGTCACAATCATCACACACGGTGTACTTCACACTGTAGACAGTGTACAGGTCACAGTCATCCCACACGGTGTACCTCACACTGTAGTCAGTGTACAGGTCACAATCATCACACACGGTGTATCTCACTTTGTAGTCAGTGTACAGGTCACAATCATCACACACGGTGTACCTCACACTGTAGTCAGTTTACAGGTCACAATCATCACACACGGTGTACCTCACACTGTACTCAGTGTACAGGTCACAATCATCACACACGGTGTACCTCACACTGTAGTCAGTGTACAGGTCACAATCATCACACACGGTGTACCTCACACTGTAGTCAGTTTACAGGTCACAATCATCACACACGGTGTATCTCACACTGTAGACAGTGTACAGGTCACAATCATCACACACGGTGTATCTCACACACTTCTGGTTAATCATTATACATTGATTTAAAAATGCTGAAATGAGGTGCTGGCCATATCATCTACTTATATTGATTCAAGATTTGTTTAAATTAATTTGCTGTAGAAGTTGTATAGAGCGCTTGAGTGGATACAGCGGAAGAGTGGATACAGCACTCGCCTCCTGTTTCAGGAGTCGGTGATTCGATTCCCAGGTGCTCCCAGTTCACCCAGATGTAAATGGAGACCTAAGTTTAAACGTGGTGAAGTGCAATACCGGCCATGCGGCCTCCTTGTATACCGAAGGTTTAATATACAGTGTGCTGTATCCATACTGTCCATAACGGGCAGTCATGTCTATGGGACTTACTCTCACTTGTTGTATACATGTGTACTGACACAAGTAGGTAAAGTACTGATACATTAACACAGGTAGCTACAGTACTGATACATTAACACAGGTACCTACAGTTCTGATACATTAACACAGGTAGCTACAGTACTGATACACTAACACAGGTAGCTGCAGTACTGATACACCAATACAATAACACAGGTAGCTACAGTACTGTTACAATAACACAAGTAGCTACAGTACTGATACACTAACACAGGTAGCTACAGTACTGATACACTAACACAGGTAGCTACAGTACTGATAAACTTACACAGATAGCTACAATGCTGATACACTTATACACTAACACAGGTAGCTACAGTACTGATACACTAACACAGGTAGCTACAGTACTGATCCACTAACACAGGTAGCTACAGTACTGATCCACTAACATAGGTAGCTACAGTACTGATCCACTAATACACTAACACAGGTAGCTACAGTACTGATACACTAACACAGGTAGCTACAGTACTGATACACTAACACAGGTAGCTACAGTACTGATACACTAACACAGGTAACTACAGTACTCATACACTAATACACTAAAACAGGTTGCTACAGTACTGATACACTAACATAGGTAGCTACAGTACTGATACACTAATACACTAACACAGGTAGGTACGGTACTGATACACTAACACAGGTAACTACAGTACTGATACACTAACACAGGTAACTACAGTACTGATACAGTAACACAGGTAGCTACAGTACTGATACACTATCACAGGTAGCTACAGTACTGATACACTAACGCAGATAGCTACAATACTGATACACTAACACAGGTAGCTACATTACTGATACACCAACACAGGTAGCTACAGTACTGATACACTAACACAGGTAGCTACTGTACTGATACACTAACACAGGTAGCTACAGTACTGATACACTAACACAGGTAGCTACAGTACTGATACACTAACACAGGTAGCTACAGTACTGATACACGAATACACTAACACAGGTAACTACAGTTCTGATACACTAATACACTAACACAGGTAGCTACAGCACTGATACACTAACACAGGTAGCTACAGTACTGATACACTAATACACTAACACAGGTAACTACAGTACTGATACACTAATACAC